GTAAGAATGCTGAAAAGTAAGAATATCCTTTTTCCTTTTTATTTACTTATTTGAAATATGATTGTTTACGAGACATTACATTTTATCATCTAAAGAGAAGGACTTGTCTTGACTGACAAATCATCGGGTACTTCTTGGGTTTTACCAGCTCCAACTCAAAATGACGGAAAGTCTTTTGCACAAGCAACTTCAGTTGTAGTTTTGCCAAGAAGGTATTTAATTGCACATGAAAATTCTTAATGCATTCCTACATGTTAATTTTTATTATTTGAATAGTTCGAATACTCAATCACTCACTGTTTTGGATAATCGGACAAATAAGCTTTACGAAGTACCCATTACCAATAATACTATCCCAGCCACTAAATTTAAAGAGATGATAGCGAATCCTTTACCGGGATCCCGTGAGGAAGATGATAGTGCTAAAGGATTGAGGTTCTTATAATAACATAACGTTTTATATTTAAACTCTTTACTCATATCATTCTGTATTATATCATTTACAGAGTATATGATCCAGGTAGTCATTTACCTTGAATTAATACGAATAATCTGTTATTATCCTGTTGATTTATTCATAATTTATTATATTTAATCTAGCTTTTCAAAATACTGCTGTTTGTCATTCAAAAATTACCTATATCAACGGGGATTCAGGAATTCTTCGTTATCGGTGAGATTATCTCTATCAGAACGCAACTTTTTTTGGCTTCCACATATTGAATACATTTTAACGTTACCCGAACACCACGTGTCTGTTAATAATGTTCTGTGTTTTCTAGCGGTTATCCAATAGAGCAACTGGCAGAAAAATCATCATATCTTGAAGTTGCGTATCTTTTGATCTATGGAGAGCTTCCGACCAAATTACAATACACAAATTTCTTTCACGAAGTCATGCATCATACATTTGTGCATTTTAATGTTGCTGAACTGATGAGAAATTTTAACTATGACGCTCATCCTATGGGAATGTTTATTAGTAGTATTTCAGCTCTGAGTACCTTTCATCCCGATGCGAATCCTGCTTTGGCTGTAAGATTTTTTTTATTTTAACTTACTATTTGTTCAATCATCTAATATTCTTTAATAAATAGGGTTCAAATTTGTTCATTCGAAATGAAGAAATTAGAAATAAGCAGATATTTAGATTATTAGGTAAAACACCTACGTTGGCAGCGTGAGTATTTTTTTTTTATTTTTTTATACTACTATTCTATATTAATCCCTGCATTATTTAGGATGGCATACCGTCACCGTATTGGCCGGTAAGGACGAGTATTCTTTATAAATAATGTTCTTTGATATGATAATGGATACTAAATTATGTTAAAATAATAGACGCTATAACGTTCCTCAGAATAATCTTTCGTATACCGAAAATTTCTTATATATGCTTGATCAACTATCTGAAGAAAACTACAAACCAAATCCAAAATTATGCAAGGCTCTCGATATTTTATTTATTCTGCATGCTGGTATATTTTAGTCGATTAAAACTCATTCTTTTTAGTTTATTGTCTGGATGCCTTTGACTGAATTGATGTGTTCTCTTATAGATCATGAGCTTAACTGCTCGACTGCGGCAATGCGTCATATTGGCTCATCACTCGTTGATCCGTATAGCGCCGTAGCAGGTGCAGCGGCAGCCTTGTATGGACCGCTTCATGGTGGTGCTAATGAAGCAGTATTGAGAATGTTGGAGGAAATCGGTTCTGCCGAAAAAGTTCCAATTTTCTTAGCCGAAGTTAAGGAACGAAAAAGAAAATTGTTTGGATTTGGTCATCGGGTTTATAAGAGTTATGATCCACGAGCAAAAATAATTAGAAAAATAGCATATGAGGTATTGTATCTATAATTTATTATCTGTTACAATGAAGAAATTATGTATTAAGAATTAATTTAATTTATTTCTTTTTTTAGGTTTTTGAGGTTTGTGGCCGAGAGTCACTTATCGATGTTGCGATTGAACTAGAAAAAAAGGCATTAGAGGATGATTACTTTGTAAAAAGACAACTTTACCCTAATGTTGATTTTTATTCTGGTCTGATTTATAAAGCAATGGGATTTCCAACGGACATGTTCCCTGTATTATTCGGTGCGTCTTTATTTATTTAATTTTTCAATGATTATGGATCTCAAATAATAAAATAAAAGATAACATGTTGATTTGTATTCACTAGCTATTCCAAGAGTTGCAGGATGGTTAGCTCATTGGAAAGAATCATTGGAAAATAAGGATGCCAAAATCTGGCGCCCAAGGCAAGTGTATGATGGACCAGGCGTCAGGTCTTATGTTCCTATGGAACTCCGAGAATCCTCCGATAAAGAGATTAAAATTGATGTAACTATGAGTTTCATATATTGATTTTGCTTTTATCTGAAAATTATAATCCATCTAATTTAATGCACATTTAATAATAGCATCAATTCAGCAAGAGAAGTTTAGTTGCCTCTTATGAGAATAAAGAAACACCGTCAAAATTATAATATTCAATTATTCGTACTTGGACCCTATATCGATTAGTATTATTTATTTGAAATTATAGGTGAATAGTAACAATTGGGTGTACGATTAAGTGCAGAATTCACGTTTTTAATTAAAACTTGATTCACCCTTTTATTTATTTTTGGGTGTTATAATTCTTTTTATCAAATATTTTATAGAAATGAGTTGATGTAAAATGTGATTATCTATTTATCAAAATTAATTGGAACGAAATTATTCAAATGTGAAATAATTTTTTATACTAAATGTTGGATAAGTGATTATCAGACTAATACTACATTTGCCGCGTATAGTACTCCGGGCCTTCAATGCAAAAGCCTTATATAAAAAATGTATATTTTATATAGAGTTAAACAAAAAAAAGTTTTTTATTTTAATCTTTAATATTAAAGCCTATAATTTTTTATGGAAATATTGATATAATACAATATTAAAATTTAATAATTTTTATAAAATGTACTGTAAACTTAATCTGAATTTTTTTATGTATATTCAACATTTAGTATAAAAAATATTTCTTATATTTTGTTTTAATTAATATTAACTTGATAGTTATCATATTTTTATACTATGGCCAAGAATAGTTTGATAATGTGTTCAAAGTTATAGTTTTTAGAAGAATTAAGTATTATCTATCATTCTAGTAATAATTTCAACCAAATTGACAAGATAATAGTAAAATTAATTTTAGCTTTTATTAATATAACAAAGAAAAACAAAGGTTTGTTTTTAAAATCTTATAAACAAACAGTGTTTATTAAAATAAAAAGTATTTATTAAGATAAAAATAAGATATTCAAAATATAAGAAAAATTGAAATTTTTAAATTTATTAAAAAGATTTAAAATTTGTTTAAAATAAAATAACAACTACTTAAATATTTAATTGGCAAAAAAAAAAACTCTCTCCTGATTGTGTCCATTTTGTTAAAAATTTTCCTTTTATGGTAATTTTAAGCAAGAAAAAATGTTTTACACTCTCTATCGCAAGTGAGCCCC